ATAATAGCATATCTGTCTCTATCTCTGACCCTCAAGCCTCCTTAGGACCCTTGTGGTTATGCTGGCCTCACTCAGATAATCCAGGATAATGTACTCATCTCAAGATCACATCTGCAATACTCTTCTTGCCATGTAAGGAAACATATTCTCAGGTTCCGGGGTGAGGATGTGGACATGTTTGTAGGGTCATTATTCTGTGTACCTCAGTTTGTGTATTTCTCAGGGGATAACACTTTAATGGTTTAATACATAAATAGCCTCTATTTAAATATTTATATTTTGATATAGGTGCAAGGTGATTTTTTAGTCACCAATTATAAGTGATAGGAAATTTATTTTAAAACACTGATGCTTCAAAATTTCTGTTGATTTTGACAATTGTAATACTAGTTAAAATTGAAGCATTGTTCCATTATTTAGTGTTGTTCCTCTGTAGACTAGATACAGTCAGATATTTCTAATTTGTTAATTAACATGCAGCCTTCTGTTATACATATTTTCAAGTAATTCCTTATATTAGTCTTACCCAAGGTGTATTTCAGGAGTTTGAGCTTCTGTTTTATTCAGTTACTAGCACAGTAGAACAAGCTAATTTTGTCTCAGAATAGTAAAGATAAAATGTATGGAAGTATTCCTTTCTGTTTCAAGAGGATGAGAAACTTGATTTTCTCTTTCTTTTAAATGGCTAAAACTGGCTTTTGTTTGTGGTGGTTGTCTGTCAGTTTGGAAGGTCAAGGCTGAGGCCAGGCCTAAGCCTCTGGATAATGTCTACAGTGTTCTCAAATGACTTAAAAATTGACTAAATTGTTTTGAGTCAACAGTACTAAAGGTCACAGAGAAAATCAGTTTAGTCATTCTTGTTTAGTTCCTAAGTACACATAGCCAAATATGCCATAAAGTACAGTGAGGAACTTTTAACATTAAAAGTAACTTATAGCATAGGAATTATAATATGATCTTGTGTGTTTAAATTGCTGGTCAGGGACTTTGAAATAAGGGTTACTATTAAAGATTTCACATGAATCACTCCTAGATTTTCCCTTTTACATTTTTCACTCTTAGTCACATTAGACTACATTATTTCTATGAAAAATATTTTAATTTATCTTCTTTTCAAGATATTGGGCATAGTTTTTGTGTGAGGGGAAAGAGAGGAAGGAGAAAATACTCATGATTCTCACTAGCCTTAATGGTCGTTACATATATGGTTTGAAAAATTTATATACCCTGGGTTAGGATTTTATTCTCTTCAGGAATCATGTAGGAACAAAATAAATAAATAAACTGTTGTCTTTTTGTGACTTAGTCCTAGTTAACTTGGCACAGTTTGTGCAATTGTAATCCAATAAAATGTCAATTCAGAAATACCTCACAGGGATTGTTAATACTAGTCTCCTCTAGCAGGTCTCTGCTGCTCCGTCTACAGAATCTATGAAAATAAGATTTTTAATAGACTTGTAACTTGTTTATTAGTCAGAGGTCCACTTATTCAGACCGTCAGCAATTATACAAATTTTCAAGTAAAGTTTAAGCCAGTGATTAGTTATAGTTGAAATGTATAAGTGAGAAACCATTATTGTGAGCACAGCCCAGAATATTTTAATGATGTTTCTGGTTTTGAGGAGGGCAAGAAGCAATGATTTTCTTTTTGCAAATCATCCCATTATAATATAAGTTGAACATTTAAGGAGAATAATAATGAGGTAAATTATTGCATTTACTTTTTCTGCGGTTTACTAGGTCCCTTAATCTAAAACCAACAACACTATGGGGCTTGCCTTTAAAACATATTGCCCACCCAGTGTGGCTCAGTGGTTGAATATCAGCCCATGAACCAAGAGGTTACCAATTTGATTCCCGGTGAGGCCACATGCCAGTGTTGCTGGCTTGATCCACAGTAGGGGACGTGCAGGAGGTAGCCAACCATTGATGTTTCTATCTCTCTATCTCTTTCTTTTCCTCTCTCTTGAAAATCAATAAAAACACATTAAAAAATATATTAATGTGATATCCACATAAATACACACGCATATAATAGTACCTTACTATATATAAGACATGTAGTCTTGGAAAAAAATATATCATTTCCATGAGTAAATACCCCAACTTGAGATGCCCTATGCCTTAAATTTCATTTTATGGTATCCCAAATTATGGCTCTATTTCTGTTCAATCCCACTTTTGCATCAAATTTTTCAGTTCCTCTAGTCTAGTCCACACCCAGCTCAAGAAATTTTGAAAATTGCAAAACTATTGAAAGCACCCCCCTGTACGCTCTTACTGAATATATTTCCTCTGCTTCCCCTCTTGAAGTAACTCTTATGTTGAATTAAATTTTGTATCATGAAGTAGTTTTATACTTTAATTCAATTACACGCATCACTAAATTATTTTGTAATACCTTTCCAAAGTTTTCTTTAATGAAAAATTCAACATTCAGCAAATTTGAAAGGCTTATATACACCACCTAGAGTCTATACTTGCTATTCTTGACACTTTATGCACTTGCTATATCATGCAACTCTCCATTTTAGTATTCTTTTAAAAGTTTTGAAACTTTTAAGTTTTTCTGTTTGTTTCTTTCAGAAAGCAGACCCATACCTTAGTCCCAGTACTGCATTATTATATTAATATTACCATTATAATTTTATTTTATCTTAATTTATTTTGCTTATATATCAGTTTGCTTCAGGAAGGATTTAATTAGCTTAAAATTATATACAAGATAAAATAAAATTAAAAAAATAAAAGAGTAAGAATACCTGCACAAAAGGGAAATAAGCAAAGAAAAGATGCAGTAAACTAAGTATGTGCTGTGAAGGCTGGTACATTTGTTAGAAGAGGTTCACAAATTTGATTCTTAGTATTTGATAACCAAAGCAGAGAAAGAAACATAGCTAATAAAAAGACACATTTACTCATTTATTTAAGATATATTCATTGCTCCCTTAAAAGTATCAGTCTACACTAAAATAAAAAGCAAAGTAGTTTCTCAGGAGAACCATAACATTTCCTGGGACTGAGGCCAGAGTGAAATTTATTTCGTGGGTCATCATAAAGAGAATACTGTTAGTACAGTGAACATTATACTCAACAACATTCTCACTGTAAATAGAATGATGAGTTTCTTATAACGGCCTTCACTGTAGGTTGATTACCTGATGTCAAAGAGGAATTCAGGGAAACAATTATTTGACAAATCAGAATGATTGGCCCCATCACAGAGCTCTCTAGTTGTCCGGCTTCCTCTAGGGATACATTTTAATGTGCAGTCAGTTCTGCTATCACACTACTTATTGTTCCCTAAGAGTCACCATGTTCTTCAAAACTACGTAGTAAACTGGGAGGTTGCGGGTACAACATTCAAACACTTTAAAAAACAAAGTATTGGAACCTAATAAATATGGTGCCACAGTTTTACCTGTATTAAATAGCTAAAATATAAAATATACAGATACAATAATAAATATGGCACTTTTCATTGAAAAAGATCTATAGTTTGCTTCTGGAAGTGAGTTTCAGAAGAGTTACAGCTTGTGAGTTATAGTGAGGTTGTGTGGAGGAATTACCTGAAACCATATGGAATGTTGTGGAATGTTTACACAATGGAATACTACGCAGCTGTGGAAAAGAAGGATCTCTTACCTTTTGGGACCTTGTGGATGCACCTGGAGAGTATTATGCTAAACAAAATAAGTCAGTCAGAGAAAAACAAGTATCACATGATCTCACTCATATGTGGAATCTAATGAACAAAATAAACTGATGAACAAAATATGAACAGAAGCATTGATACATGGAATAGACTGACAGATCTCAGAGGGGAGGGGGGT